ATCTGGCCATAGCGAGGGTCATCAGGCATTCCCTTCTCATGCATGGCTTCCATGGGCTGTACGAGGCACGCAGAACAATCATGAGTGAAACAACTACTGAACAGAGAATCTAATGTTTGTTCTTCAGGTAGGCTTGTGAACTTTAGAGGCAGTAGTTTGATCAGGCAGGTATCAACACGTGGCAAAGAAAATACTAAATAAGTAGAAAATGTTTTTGTACTTTGTGCATCTGGTGCATGTTGTCCTGAGGATATCCTGAGGGTCCCTGTGGTGGGTGGGGGTGTCCCGATCCTGGAGGTCCTGGGCTGGGACCCATCATGCTGTGGGCCGAGCCCGGCGAGGGACCCGGACTCGGGCCCATCATGCCTCCCGGAGATGGCCCTGGGCCTGGGGAGGGACCGGGCCGAGGAGTCCCTCCCATCGGGGGATCAGGAGTGGACATCTCTCAGGGGAAAGTGGGAACGTGCAGCAGCAGCAAGTACCCCTAAAGAGAGACGGAGTCAGACGATGATCAGAACATGACCAGACCCACGGACATGGGTCTTTATTTATACCAGGGCTTTTCCTGCATAGATGAGAAGAGATTTTAGGCAGGGTCAAAAAAAGTAGAGAATAATTATAATTTTTAAAAAAATTAAGTAGTATTATTTGTAGGGTTTATGTTTACTCTGGTATAGCAGATATTTTTGATTATTAAATGGTCAGAATATAATAGGAAAATGCTCTGATTTCTCTCAAATAAGGAAGCACAGACTCATTCCTTTTATTGGATGTGCATAGTCACCCCTCAATGATCCACTCTGAGCAAAGGAAAAAAAAACAAACTTTGACATTACAACAGTGGTTCAAGTCCAAATTTACTGTTTTAGAAATACACCGACCCACAGAATAACAGTAGAGAAGACTGCGAAATAGGAATAAGAGAGAGCTTTAACTGTCTTATTTAGAGAAAGTTCCAGAAAACAGTTAAAATATCTGCTGTAATTTTCCAAAACACAAATATGATGAATTTACAATGACATGAAAAAGTCAAAAAGGAAATCATCATATTTGAGAGAATACAATCAAATAAGGTTTTTGCTTTTTGCTTGACAATAAAGGTAAATGTTTTACTGATTATCGGAATAGTTTCAGACATATTTTGGGTGACTGTCACACAAAATAAATAATATTGATTGAGACAGTTCATCAGAAATGTACCCTGAAAACATCTCTATGTGAGATCTACAGACCACTATGGGTGTTAAATAATCATTTCAGGAAAGTGATGCTGCTGTTGTGTTTTTCTCATATACTGTTTGGCACTTTGCAAAGTGATCACACTCAGGTAAAAACAGAAGCAAACACTCCTAAATCATACATAATAGGAAACAGTTTTTATGCTGTTGCATGATTTAAATGTCCAACCATGAAGTCCTGGTTGCTCAGACTGAGACAGATGGTCAGTGGCTGAAAGCAGCTACATCACACACATCATCTATTCACATGAAGCTGATTGTAAAGTCAAGGCAGCAAACAAACTGTACGTAGAAAAGTTTCAAAACACAATAAGTTCCCAAAATGTGACTCTAACAAGACAAAATCCTGATCAAACCCTCTGCAGATGAGGCCCTATTCAACAACACACAAACCCCGTCGGTACACAAACATATGTCTGTTAGAAATTTGTGAGAGAACAACCACATAAAGTAAAAACTTTGTCAGTCCAGTTCTGATAATGTTGACATGTTTAAGCCAGTAACAATTAGGTTAGCTATTATTAGCATTCCGAGCTTTGCTAACGTTAGCCGGGCCTAGCCGGATTTTACAGTTTACGCTACTTTCTGTCAATAAAAGCGGTCGTTTTAACTTCCTCTCTCTGGTAATGTAACCCAAGTTTAGTTGGGGTTCACCGGGGAGCCGGTTCGGTCGTAAAACTACGCTAAAATAAAAGGCAAAGCTCCAAAGAAACACGAGCCCGACTCCGGCTGTTCGGCTAAAGTAAAAGCCTGAAGCAACACAACAACATTAACGACGGCGGCTAGCCAGCTAGCGAGCTAGTCGGGTTAGCCTAGCCGGCCATGCTCTCCCAGGCCAATTAGGCTTTAAAAAATGTGCCGTTTCGCGAGATGTTCGACCAGATGCGGCGACAAATGTGAAAGGTTAGAGCATCCCACATCGCCGGAGCTGATTGATCCAACGCGCCTCCCGTACCCTTGGCTCGGCTCCGCTCTTAGCACATTTCCAAAAACAATTTTCATTCATTGCACACTGTCGCGCCACAGCAGCGCTACTGTAATGTCGGTCTCCTCTTTTTTTTCTCTCTCTCACTCTCTCTCTCTCTTAACAAAAAAAAAGCCCACATAAAAGCAGATTTATCCTCCGCAAAACACACACAAAACTCTCTCCACCCAGCAGCTCGATCATCGTGGACTTACACGAGCGGCGAAAGTTGATGTTCGGAGTCTCACCGGTTGCAACGTCTCTCGGTTTTCCTCCTAGCCAGAAACAAAGAGCGACCTACCCAGTCGGTTTTTTTCCTTCACCCCCCTCTCTCGGCAGATTGTATCGCAGGGACCGGCCTGCGCGGCTCCGCAGCGCCCCCCATCCGCCGCCTCGCTTCCCCGCATGCAGGCTGCGCGAAGGCTCCACGGGCAGGAATGAAAAGGAGCCGGTGTGGGGGATGGGAGCTCCGCTTAGACACGGTGCTGTGGACGAGACCGCGAGAAAAATGCGATTTAACGGCGAGTAAATCGGAGAGAAAATAGTCAGCGAGCAAAAAGACGGGCTGACTGAAGCGGTCCGTGGCGGCCATGGGCGGAGGTTCGGTGTGAGCGCTGCTGGGGGAACTGGGTGTCCTCCTCTGGGGAAAGTCCTCGGTTCTGGGGGATTTTTACGCACCGACTCGGTCCAATTCAGCGTCAATTTATGCTGGAAATGGTTTTTATTTATGTAAAAGGAAATTAAGGCATCAAGTTGCAAACAACAATATAATATAATACAATAAGGAATTCTGTGTTGCTTTTAAATATTAATTCTTCTATAATATCATATTTTTCTTATTTATTTATCATTATTCCTCCTGGTTCAACACACACATGGACCTCATCTGTCCTCTTTTTGTGTCCTTTGTTTGTGGGGAGGTGACCTAATTAAATGCACATGTGGTACCTATTCACACCAATGACCAGTTGTTCAGTTTTACCTGAATTATAACCTCCTGGAATTTAACCAGCTTATTAGAATTTAACCCTCAGATTCAAAACTTGATGCACGTTCAGGACTTATCACACGTATCTATGTTTGACATGCTAAAGAAAGAAACAAAAAAAAAAGCCCCTGTTGGAGGCATTGTTGTACTAAATGGTAAATATGTTCATGGTTTATTGGGAGGAGGAGGGGAACGTATCCCTCCTGATGGTGGCACAAGAGCTGTGTACAGTTTTCCATGTTATTTCATTATTGTCCTGGTCTGAGCTTGTATTTTCAGGCTTGTTCTGTAACATATTGACTGGTTTCATTGTTGATTAATCAACCACATACTTGGATTTGTTGTTTGGTCTTCAAAATGGCAGAAATGTGTAAAAAAAAAAAAAAAAAAAGGGGGTCATGATTTTGGTAAAATATGGTACAAAATACAAAATAAAAGAAAACATCTCTCCACCTTAATCCTCACTAGGGTCATGGGGGGCTGGAGTCTATCCCAGCTGACTCAGGGTGAAGGCAGGTTCACCTGGACAGGTAACCAGTCTATCACAGGGCTACACTTAGAGACAGACAACCAAGCACACTCACATTCACACCTACGGACAATTTACAATCACCAATTAACCTCAGCATGTTTCTGGACTGTGGGAGGAAGCCGGAGAACCCGGAGAGAACCCACGCTGCACGGGGAGAACATGGAGACTCCACGCAGAAAGATCCCGGGTGTCCTCACCGGGATGCAAACTGGCGACCTTCTAGCTGTGAGGCAACGATGCTAACCACCGCGCCTTGCAGCCCTAAAAGGAAACAAGGACATTTTAATAGATGACATCCAACATCAGCCCTTTAAAAATGAGGTTACGTTTTACAAAAAAAAAATATTGTCCTTGTAAGTTGCTACTGATGGACTTAAAAGTGGGCAATACACGGTCACATTATTCTTAGATTTACCTACATAAAGCAGACTATGATATATAATTAGCTAAACAGTAGGATGGACTTCACAGGCAGATGACAAATTAAAGGAAAACCCAACAAAACATCTCTTAGCAAGGTGTTGTGGCACCACCTTCGATGCACCTCGCCACTGATTCTCTACGTCTCTGAACTCTACTGGAAGGATGAACATCATACATCCAAAAGATATTCTCTTACTTGGTTTTTTGATGATGGTGGTGGAGAGCGGTCTAACACATTGGTTAAAAAACAACAACCCCCATGTTACGTTGAGATCTGATGACTGTGGAGGCCATAGAATATGATTTATGTCATCTTCTTACTCATCCAACCATTTCATGACCCTTTGTGCCCAATGGAGAGGCCTATTGTCAAGCTAGAAGAGACCCTCCCATCTGGATGGAAATGTTTGAACACATTTCCATTGACTTGTAATGACGATTCCATCTAAGGGGTCAAGTGGACTCAAACCATACCAGCAAAATGACCCTTACAGCAGAACAAAGCATCAGATCTGTTCGGTTTTTCCCTTCAATTTGTCACCAGTCGGCAACCAAGGTTCAGACATGCTTTTTAATTATCTACGTATTTTTGCATGATAACGAGTTATTCATTGCTGCAGGCTGGAAGCCCTTTGACATGTGACTGATCAGCTTAAGTTGGAGGAGGTCAAGAGTGTGTTAGTGTCCTTAAGCCGCAGTGTACACAATCCCATGCTGAGGAGATCCCCGCGGTATGCTGGTAGGACGAAAACAAAGGAAGAAGAGGGCAAAGAGTGGCTTAGGTTGGACCTCTGAGAGATGACCCTCCACTGGTTGGCCACACAGGTCTGGAGACACCGTGTGGCAGGTGTCACCATGATCCTGGGGGTCACCTGTCTGCTTATACTTGTAGGTACTCACCTGTTGCAGCATTCGGGGTAAGTAACAGGACTAATGCATGGTGCAATCGAACCAGTCTTTTTGTTTTTTAAATCATACAGTAGAGGTTTGTTGTTGATGTTGTGTTCTATCCAAAGCTCTAAGGATTTGCACAAAGGTGGGAGTGACACGTCACCGAAGGAAAGACAGAGACTGGCTGCCAACGCCAATCAAAGACCTAACGACCTCTACCGAGACTACAAAGGAAGGAGGGTCACTCCGTCCTCGGCTGCTAGAAAGGATTCCATGCACTTGACTTGGTCGTACACTCCACCTGTTGTTTTCCTTAAAACACACAAGACAGGAGGCAGCACCGTCCAAAACCTGCTGTTCCGCATGGGAGAGAAGGACGGAGCCACCTTTGCTTTTCCTCATTACACCTACCAGTTCAACTATCCAGATAAGTACGCAGATGTTACCCTGATCCTAAACACTGAGCTTTAGGTTGATGATGATTCTCACAAAGCAGTTAAAGGCGACTGTACGGTTTTCTCTGCTTTCAGATTCAGGGCAGATTTTGTGGATGAGTTACCAGAAGGTTCTTCTAATTTCGACATCCTTTGCAGCCACATGCGTCTGGACATCGGACAGCTGAGATCCATGATGCCACCGAACACCATCTACGTCACCATCCTCCGTGAACCTGTGCTGACATTTGAGTCTGTTTTCTCCTGTTACACCTCCACTGTTCCTGCCTTCACCTTTGCCAAGAAGGCAGCAGCAGTAGAGCACAGATCAGCGCTGTCAATGTTCCTGGAGTCACCAGACTCATTCTGGGACCCTAAAGAGCCTCGTGACGGCCTTGCAAAGAACCCCATGAGCTTTGATTTAGGCCTCGACGACCAGCAGTGGGACTCCTGGCAGACCGACCTGACCGAGCTGGAGGAAACCTTCCAGCTGGTTATGATCGCAGAGCACTTTGATGAATCCTTGGTCCTCCTGGGGGCCCTGCTGAAGCTGGAGTTTGAGGAATTAGCCTACGTCCGCCTCAACGCTCGCTCTGCTCACAGTCTGACTCCACTGGACGACATAACCAAAGCCAGGATACGAGCCTGGAACAGGATGGATGTGCTGCTTTATGACTTTTTCCTGAAGCTGTTCAGGGAGAAGGCAGCGCAGTACGGGCTGGAGAGGCTGAACAGAGACGTGGCCCGGCTGAGGGCCTCCGCTGACAGAATCAGTAAGAAATGTGTGTCAAGGAAAGAGGTGCCTCCTGGGGAACTGGAGGACTTAATAAGACCCTTGCAGACTGATTCAGCCACCGTGCTGGGTTATGAAGTTAAGGGAAACCTGACCAAGCAGGAGCAGGGATTCTGTATGCGGTTTGTACTGCCTGAACACCACTACCACGCACATCTCTATTTCCAGCAGTACGGTCGGGCCATGAGGGCTGTGCCTGCAGCGTAATACATGCAAGCGATTGCACGAAAATTACAACCGCGGTGGGTGATTCAGAAAAGGGGAGGGGGGGGCTTATGCATTTTTAATTTCTATGCATGTGAGAGTAGTTTATATTTTATGGGAGAGCAGAATCCAGAATTATATTTTAATCCATCATTCTGGTGAAAATGACAGACGTGTCGGGCTTCGTCTGGGTCACGCACATGGTGGCTGTAATAGGCCTAGCCGTTTAGCAGGTCGTTGTTTAACAAGACTAAGAGTTTATGGCCATGCTTAGTGGCCCTGTGAGGCAGCAGGGCTTTAAAGAGCCCCTCCAGGGAAAATCAAGCTTTTTTTTAACCTTAATATGTCTGTATGGTGGTTGTTTTTATATGTATAATGAGGGAAATAAACAGTTGTCAACACCAGGGCTGAGCATTTCCACCTTGAAGCTGCAGTGTACCGATGATACACCCAGAGTTTCATACATCACAAATCTGAGGAACCAATTCTGTCAACTTGCAGCGTCGGGTTTCTGAATCATTGTTCTTCTTCAGAATCAGTTTCTGGCTCCAATATTATATTTTTGTGTCGTTACATAAGTAGTTTTACAGTGTTTGAGCAGGTAGGAAGGTGAGCTGGTGTGCTTGAGCTACAGGGAGGGAGAGGGATTGATGTGCATATTGTGAAGGAAGCAACTGTGTGAAGACATTTTAAGGCAGGAAAGGATTATGTTATGGGGAAAAACATTTTTAAATGTCTAACACTGATACAGAGAGGCACGTTTTTTGGGGGTTTAATCACTGACAGGAGACGGAGTTTAAGAATTGAGTCACTTTGTCATTCAGTGAACTCTTTATTTAGACAAAAGCCTACAAAAAATAATCCAGCGTTTAAGAATGATTTCAGTAACTTTTGTCTTTTTTCCCCATTTTTTTTTTTAAAACTTAAGTTTCTTACCCAGAAAAGACGACTTCTTTCGCTGAGTCACATGATCGCAGGAATCCAGTTTTCTAATCCATTCAAAGTGCAGCATCCTGTCACATGACCTGAAGCAGCGAGAGGCTGCTCGGAGGAATGTGGGATTGTTTGATTTCCTTTCATTTAAACAGATTAAATAAAATCACCCCATGGACTGAGCTAAAGCAGTCTGAGATGAATGACAAGAAAAAAAAAATCGTCCTTCAAAGTCCTCCAATGGAATGATATTAAAACAATAAATAAAAACACAAATGTGCACAAACCAGCAATAAAAATATAGTAGTGTTGTTACTGCTACCCGACTGCTTCATTCTACCAAACCTTTAGGGAGTCCCTCCTCCAGCTGATCGCTCGTGAATGTCGAGGAAATCTGTTGCTCTTACGCTCAGTAGTTGCCGCACAGTTTAAACGTCACATCGGTCCTTGATCCTCACAACAGAACAAACTCATCCATGCTGTTGCTGGTGTCGACTCTCCTCAGTTCGTTCTTCCTCCGTATGTAGGTGATGTTGTTGGTTGTCAGGCAGCTTCCCGGCACCTCCTCCTGACGTTCTCCTTCCGCGAATATGAACATGGGGTACGTCCCTGCAGATGTGGACAGAGCCTGCGGGAGACCGAACAATAGCTCAAGTTGGCAATAATCAGCAGGATCAATGCAACAAATAAGTTTGGTTATATTTTAAATGGCCACCGTGTCTGCAACAAGACAAATATCCACTTGGTCTTGATAGAAATCCTAACGCGTGGGTCAACAGAGCCTCAAACTCTTACCTCATTAACGACTGTGCACAATGATTCGAACTCCCTTTGTCCTTTGGCGTAAAACCCGATGGTACAGCTGGGGTCCATGCGAGAGAAAGACATTTTCCTGGGATATTTGCAATGAAACGACTGCAAAGGAGAGAAAAGAGATGTCATTAGATTCAGAGGAAATAATCTCCAATGTGGATGTTATTGATTCAACATTTAGCTTCAACCAGGGGTATTTGTTCCCCCAATGTGGCACAGCTGAGGCTACAAGGAAGCATCGTGGACAACCTTAAGTAATCTGCATAAACAGAAACTTGATCAGGATTTAATTAAATGCATATTGGACAAGTTGGCCAGCAAGCAGAAAGGTTAAAACAATCAGCAGAAAGTAATGGATGAATAGTTAAAACAGCTAAAGGTCATGAATACATGGTTGAGAAGCATAAGAAGGCATAAAAAATTAATCAAGAGTTGGTTAAAAGTCATGGATAAATGGTTGAAATGTCCAATTCAGAATAAGGACAAGTTAAATAAACCAAAACACCCACAGTTTAACTATAGTTGGCACAGATTCTGAGGCTCGGGAGGAGATTCTTGGGTCTGTTTCCCTTCACCTGAACCTAACCTTAACCCTGGCTTATGATGTACTGTAAGTTTAAACTCTCTTTTTCAACCTGGTAGAAATGGCACACCACTAGAAAATGATAAAACCGAGCATGACAGCAGATGGAACAGATGTGAAGCAACAGATGCAGAAAACTGAACCCAGCTTAGGCAGAGCTATTGCACTCCTCAGTTACACATTATGATGAGAACTTTGAACTCTCGCAGGGAGACTAAAATCATTAACCTGTGATGTGCTCTGAGGGTTATTCCCACACCAGGAGCTGAATAGCAGCCGTTTAGATGAGTGAGAATCGTGGCAGCTGTTGGTAGGTGATGGGAAATGACACAAGTAGGAAGAGAGTTTACCCAGTGTTGCTGTGCAGGTAAAAATATACCAATGTTGCTGCTCCTTAGGCTTACGAGGTGTGTCAGAAAACTTCCAGGACTGGTGTCACAAAAGATACAAGTAATCCCCCTGGAGTCTAACCCAGCCTTCTCTTCACGCCGCCATGCACTCCTGGAAGGATTCATCCAGGATCCTCCTGAGCTCTGTCGTCACAGCCATCTTGATGTCGTCCACGTCTTCTAAACGGGTCTCCTTGATGACCCCCTTGAGCTTGGGGAAGAGGATCACACAGAGCCAGGTGGGGTGAGTAGGGAGGTTGCTCCAGCATAGAGATGTTCTTCTCAGCCAGGAACTGTGGGATGCTCAGGGCGTTGTGAAGCAGCCACGACTGGTCCTGCCACAACTCTGCCTCTTCTGCAAACGAAGCTGGATCTCTTTGTAGACATGCTGGTTGATTTGTGACACCAGTCCTGGAACTTTTCTGACACACCTCATAGAGCCAACCTCACTCTAATCTAGTGTTAGGGTACCCTGGGTCTTGGTCTTGTCTTGGAGTCAATCACGTTGTTGCTCAGTCCTACCACGGTGCAGGCAAAGAGGATCCAGGATTCACTAAATTTTCCATGCAACTGAAATGTTACTGTGACCAGCCCCTCGTATCTCCCTGCCCCCATTCAAACGCACTTCAAGAATGCAAAACACAGAAGAAGAAGAAGAAGAAGCTGTGGCTGTGTGGTTAGAGATGTGACGCAAATCTGTTGTGATAAAATGTGGCCACCTAAAGCACAAAGAGTTCATCTGAAGAACAGCGTCCTAACCAATTTACATGACCGAGAACAGCTGTGAGAAGAGGAAGCGAAACAGCCAAAACAAAGACAGAAGAGAAATGATACCTCATACCTCCAAGGGAAAGTTCTCCTTTGTTGTGTCCACTGTGGGCTGACAGTAGTGAGGGTCCAGGTACAGCAGATGGTCATCTTTTAGCACAGCAGAGCCAGAGGAAGAAGAAAACAAAAAATGAAAGCACTGACATCGAACAGCCGAGCACAATAATCACGATGTGGTGAACGTACCCTGGAAGCCGATAAAGAACAAAGAGTGCTTCGGTTTGCCGCCGATGATTCCAACGCAGCACTGTAGCGTCAGGAGTCTCTGTGGAAGAAAACACACTGAACCGTTTGGTTTTCATTGCAGCTGCAGCAGTTTTTTTTTGCTTCAGAGCATCTCTGTTCGGATGATATTGATTTTTACTGAACCACACTGCTGGCAGGAAGAATAAACCCAGAAAAGAAAACCCGCCGGAGCCCCTTTATAAAATCAATCAGTTTACACAGTTTTCAAGCGTAAAAATAGTGCTTCAGTACTTTGACGCAGGTGATGTAGGAGGGATTGAGGTCGTGTCCACCGAGTCGGACAGGAACCAGGATGATTACGGACTTCCAGGACTGAGGGAGAGGCCGCTCGCACAGCCTTCGAACGTCCTGCAGGTAGACTGAACACAAGAAGAAGGAAAGGTTCAATAAATCCTCACATCTGAAAAACAAACCAGGAAGCGTACAGCGAGTCATGCTGTGCCTAATGTCACAAAGGTGGCTTTCGTCTAACCTGCTAGATCACCGTGGTAACTTGCAGCACAGCTAAGCCGCTCTAGAGGACGTTGTGTTCAGGTTTTTGGATTTCAATCAGCTGAAGCGAGCTCCAACTCCTTTCTCGACCGTATTGAGCAACAGGCTATAAATTCTCAGCTGAGCGTTACATCTGAACCTGTTGAGCCGCATGTTAGCGATGCCTCTGAACACAAGCTGTACAGTCACAGCAACACAAACTCAACCTATATTCATTCATGTGGTGATGCAGAAAATGCAGAAATATGTTTGGTCCTTGATTTCCTGCCTGGTCCGTTCAACACAGCTTAAAACCTGATCAGTCTGCAGACAATAGAACACCATTAATTTCACTTTGATTTGGCCAAAAACTGAAGCGAGCGGCTTGTGTTTTTCAGTCCAGAACAGTGTGTGGATGCATTTCCTCAGTATCAGGTTTAAATGTAGGAATTTTAAAGCCTAGGAGCTCTAATGTGTAGCAGTCACACGAGCTAGCAGCCGCATTGCATGGTAAAATAAATATACGACTAGCATTCCTCTCCTGGCTTACTTGCAGTAACAGTGCGGTTTACTGACATAAACTTTCATATAATCCTCACATCGCCTCATTATAACAACCTGTTCCTCTTGTCTGGGCTCGGCAGCACACAACTGGTCCAGTTTATGCAGAAGAAGAGTCAAGTGAACTGTTTTATGGGAGCACACACAGAGCCTGAAAAACTGGGTTAAGAAAGAAAGCTGACACTCACCGTGGCAGCAACTATTAAATATAATCCAGCTAACATAAAGAAAACCTGGTTATGTTGAATTCGCTTTTTATTACATCCTCTCAGGTGAATCTTTCATCTTTTCATCAAGAAAAGATGGTTGTACCTTTCGGGTTCTGTGGAAGAACAGTCGTGACTCGATAATCGATAATAAGGTTTTACATCGAGTGTCGGATTATCGAGTCATGACTGCAGTTATATTTTGCATTCTTTCTACCAGCCAGCAGGGGGCGACTCCTCTATTTGAATAAAGAAGTCAGACTTTATGATAATGACCTACTTCTCACCCGACGTTTGAACATCTGATTAATGAGTTTATGGCAGCAGCTGCTGGCTTCACATCGCCTTCAGTACAGTGAGACGTTTATTTTATGAATCATGGTCCCAGTTAGAGATAAATGGACAATAAAGCAGGGTGTGTTTGTGGTTGATAACGCACTCGTGTCCTCCTCAGTCAGATCCACCGTTTGCTCATCACATCTAGCTTTAAATCACAGATGGCCAATATTCCAAACCTAAGACTCCACAATGACAACCAACAAACCAATGAGTGTCGTCACCGTGGCAACATCAATCTACGATACTGTCTCTTTAACGACTGTGTTCGTTTTGTCCTAAACTGTTTACGAAAATGCGAAGGTTAATTAAATTGCCTTCTCTCCTCGGTAACCCAGAGGAATGTCTGATTAAGTAAGAAGCATCGGAGGAACACTCTGATGACAGGAAGTACTCACTGGTGCAGTCTTGTGCGACGTACACAGCCAGGTTGGGAAGGTCCGCTGAAGCTGCCACAGCTTTCCTGAAACACAACGACATCTACTATCACAGCTTGATCAAAGCTCTTTGGGATGACGCGACTGATACAATCTCACTTCACATCTCACCGAAGAATATGCGCCGCGATGGAAGGACCATACCAGTCCCCGGCCTTCTTCCCTGAGCTTTTTCCCAACTCCACGAGCTGGTGGATCCCAAAAGGGGCTGCGGGCTGATCCGCAAACCAGGATGCCATTCTTCTATGTGTAGCCTCCATTGGTCTGTCCAGGCGGGAACCCAGGCTCAGTTTTCGACCTCGGCTATTTAGCCTTTCATTTGAATCCCACCCGTTTTCTGCAGCGTCTACGGGCCGAAGCAGGTCCATGTCGTCTTTGACCACATGGTGGCTTGCAGACCAAGTCCAACCTGAAGAAGATGCAAAGAAATGATGAGAAACATCAACTAAATAAAGCTCAGATACAAGACATTTCAAACAGAGAAGCATGTGACCGGGATAGAATGCTGCGAATTTGTTTTCATGTTTATCTGAGACAAATTCACGATGTGTCATGCATGGGTGGAGGAAATAAACTCCTACTGTTGCAACATTTGTGTTTAAACATGTTTACAGCCTGGTACAGTGAACAGTTTTGGTTTCCTAATAACTCCTAGCTAATTTTTTGAATAGCCAGGAGTAAGGAGGAGTCAGACACAGTCAAGATGGAGACGCAGAGAGACACCACACTGAGCTTCAAATCCTCTGACGTCACCAAGTGTTCGTCCATATTTACATGTAGTCATTGTACAAAGCAAACCACAGCGACGGTGTGTTCCTGCTCTTAGCAACTCTTTGCTTTCTACAGTTTCATTTTGCAGATGCTTTTATCCAAAGCGACGTACATCTGAGAGCAGATGCAACACAAGTAAGGATCTAGTCAGGAGAAAACAGTCTAGATAACAAGTTCAAGTGTGGTCGGGCGTTGATGCCAACAGCAGCAGGCTGTGTGGGAGGTAATAGGAATTATTTTTGCACTTGCACATGTTGCTGTTTTCAGGTAATTCTCATTTCCTCTTTTCACTGTATATTTTTACTACAGTATATTTGTGCATTTTCCTCTTCAGCCCATTTTTAAATCATAGCAATTTTACTTTTTTTTGTGCACTTTGTACTTTAGTAAATATGTCTTAATTCTTATGTTATTTGACCTTAGTTTACCGGACATTTCTGCTTGTTTATTTGGATTTGTCGTAGTCACTTTCCTCTTTGTGCTTGTAACATCAGAATCACCTCCTTGGGGATATATAAAGTATTTCTACTCTATTATAACTAAAATATCAATATGGCTACTCAGCATGTTAATAACTGAGTTATACCAAAAACATTAACTAGAAGCTAAATCAGATCAAAATGTTGAATAAAGTAACACCTGATAAGCTAGCCCTGCTAAAGCTAAGTGGCCTTGGATAGCTACACTTTTGATTATCCAAACATAAAGTCAAGAATCTTACTTAATCCTCCTAAAAAGGCACAAAAAATAGGTTTAATTCCCTCAAATCTGTTTTTGTAGTAACTTTATTTACCGGGATACGCTACCATACTACAAACTGGCATCTATTAATGCATCACCTGTCCACTCACTCATCTGACTACACATTAGACATTGTGTGTGTGTGTGTGTGTGTGTGTGTGTGTGTTGTCACCTGGTGGCATGAGGTGGAGGATCAGGCCTCGTGCCAGCAGCATCTGGCCCGTACGCAGAACACATCCCCAACCGCTGTCCGTGGTCAACGAGCATCCGGCCAGCAGAGGGAAACCCCGTCTGTACGTTAACCACAGCAGAGACGCAAAGGAGCGACGGAAAAGCTCCTTCTCCCCTGACACAGACAGATATCGGATTAAAATCACGTCAAATAGGTAACTTCAGATCTATTTTCTGGTCTGCTGAAGCAGGAGAGCGTCTCACTTTCATTCTTGAGCTCATAGGACTTTCCAAGCATGATCACAGGAGAGCTCTTGCTGAATTTGGATTTCTGCTTCAAGGACCAGCCTGATACAATAACGGGAAAGAAGAAACTGTTTGAACTCACAAAACACAGAAAACAAAAAGATCTGCTCAGTGCAAACATAACACTGTCTGACCATATTTGACACTGTTCCATGCTGAGACCAGCTTGGATTTCAGTTTGCCTTTGTCCTCTGCCTCCTGGTCGTCTCTGCCCACTTCTTGGCCCTGAGGCTCTGCAGACTCAGAGGAGAGGAAGAGCCAGTCATCGGCGAGGTCATCAGAAGACTGGCTCTCGAAGTGAGCAGAGGAGGCGCTGGGATTCATAACAACTGGTGACGACCACGAGAAGAGTCGCTCCTCGTCGCTGTAGCAGCCTGCATGGATACAGTCAGGACAAAACAACACAGATCAACTCTCAGCACGTGACACAAGCAACGACATACAGTGAAACATATGATTGAAGCCAACAAGCACTGCTCTGGGATCTGATTCATGTCAACCACAGCAAAGTCAATAATTTCCTGTGATGGTAAGTAAAGAGAGAAAACATGTGACTGCATCCTGTGACTTCAGGAATGTCAGACATGTCAATTTAGCTGCAGCAGGAGGGGTGCTGGTTTTAGAATGCATTACAAGTAAAGTTGTGCATTCAAAATACTACTTGGGAAAAGAACGGAAATATTATCTGCACAATGTACTTAAAGTTTTAAAAGTAAACATGATTGAACTGCAGGAAAACGCCCCCTGTGACTGATATATTATCATAAACTACATTATTAGTTGGTCAGTCCTGTTACATCGACACATGAGCAGAACTTTGCTGTTGCAGTTGATCAATGTGAAACTCGTTCGGCTACTTTATAAACAGCTGGGTAGTAAGGAAGGCACCCAAAAGGGGACACAAGATAAAAGTGAGAAGATGGGTGATGATAAATGATGTAAGAAAGGAGGAAAGTTCTACTGGATGGATAAGTATT